TAGAATCAATCCTCAAGTGGTTTGTATTTCCAGTGAGTTTTTGTGCATTCTTTAACAGCAAGCCAAGTTAAAAGTGCTGCATCCATCAGTTATTTGCAATGAGATTTTGATCTTTTTCCTTGCTAGAGTTGGTTGTACATCCTGGAGCAGAAGATATTTGATAGCTGTGTTCTGCTGGAGCACTCTGTGAACAAATCCTTACATTTTGGATTACCAGTGAGTCCATTTCATCAATCCTTTATTCTGGGACAAATCCATATGGTGATGGATGGGTGGGTGTGTGTGTATGTGTGATCAGAGTTTGTGGTTTTGTGGCTTGTCTGTTCAAAATATGTGACTGGATTCAAGCAAACATGTTTTAACCCTCCAAAATCTAGCTGTTTCTATGACTTCTATTCTTCATATTAATAAGCCAGAGCGTTATTGCAAGGCTCACTGGTTTTCCTTCTAACTTGTTTGATTTTCAGGCAGAAAACCTCTCTGTGGCTACTGGCCCAGGCATCATTTTGGTACAGTCTGGTGCTCAGGGGAGGTTCTTAGGCCTCCACCTTCCCTGAAGCTCAGTGCTGATACCTCTGGCAGGGCTTTGAACACGTTTACTTGTACAGCTCTGTGAAATCTTGCAGGGCACCCCTCCCCTTTGGTAGTTTGTGCCCTGGTAGATCGGTTGTCTGATAATGTTTAGTTCTTCCCCATATCCGCAATTCCTTTTTTAAAAGAATTGTTCTAAAATGGACTAAACTGCTGTTGTTGGGAGAAAGGAGTAGACATGTCCTCTTTGTGGGGAAGGGAAGGAAAGCAAAGGCTGTTTTCAGAGCAGTTCTGGAGAAATCCAGGTACTGGTCCTGTCCTCCTCCATAAGATTTCTGTGTGGGGGAGTGGAAATTACCTTTCACATCCAACAAAATGACATTCACATATGTGTGGGTGTGCATAAGTGAGTATTTAAAGAAATGCCTGGAGCAGTGTTCCTTTGTCTGTGCTGTCTTTTTGGGATTCTTTTTTAGTAGTTTAGAACTCTGCTCCAGTGTAATTTGCAAGCCTGGGTTACTCTGCTGTCTTCCAACACTCTAGATATGTTTTTTTTCCTTCTTCCCAGTATCTTGCTTCCTTGGGAATACAGTCCTTGGTTCAGCAAAGAGCTTTTGCAGGAAAGGCTGCCAACAAACTAATGGATGCCTTAAAAGATTCTGATCTGTTGCATTGGAAGCACAGCCTGTCAGAGCTCATTGACATCAGCATAGCACAGAAAACAGCCATTTGGAGATTATATGGCCGCAGGTATTTGCTTTGTTTGGAACTCCTGGATTAGCTGCTGCACTTGTTAGCAAATAATGCATTTATATAGGTGTAACAAGTGAGTGTGTCTCGCCAGTGCACTAAAATAAAGCAATCAGACTGTGATTCAGTACAGGCTGAGTGCAATTATTTCCATTCTCTTGTGTTCCTTTAAAACTCATACTGAAGAAGAGATAGAGTTTCCATTTAGTAGTGGCAAATAGCTCATAAATTGTTCCTGTGCCCCCACTTTGAGCATCTCTGTGCTTTGGCTGTGTGCAGCTATCAGTCTGTAGTACTTGCTGTGCCTGCACAGTCCAGAGTCCTTGGACAGCAGTTGTTTTGCAAGTTTTCCTTCTCCCCAGGTCCCTGGCTTAACCAGACAATGTAGACTATTGTCATAACAAGACCATAGATTAAAAATGGTTGTTGTTTGTTGCTTGAAAACTAAAAGATATTTTTCTTGCACAAGCACCATGGCACTTCAACAAGCCCAGACCTTGCTGAGCATGAACAGTCTGGAGGCTGTGAACGTGGGCGTTCAGCAGAACAACACCGAGTCCTTCGCCGTGGTGTTGTGTCACCTGGCAGAGCTGCACGCCGAGCAGGTGAGCTCTAGGGCTGCTTGCACCAGGTGCCATTTGGTGAGAGGATATGTGGGTGTTACTGACACAGGGTGCAAGATTTGACTTGTGGTTCTTTCTGCCTGTTCTGGGGGCAGAGATGATGCAGGGTGTTTGCTTGGCAACGCCCTTCCCTGAGGGTTGTGCTGGAAGGGAGGGGAGCAGGACACCCCCTGCCCCAGTGCATTAATCAGTGTCCTTCTATGTTCCAGGGGTACTTTGCAGCTGCTTCTGAAATACTGAAACACCTAAAGGAGAGATTCCCTCCCAACAGTCAGCATGCACAGGTAGAATACTTAGCATTCAGCCTGTAAGTTATGTAATATTATACAGTGTGATCTGAATCCCACTGCTCCTGAATTTTCCTCTGGATGCCTTGGGCTATACATTTTCTCATTTCCCTTGGCTCATCCTCATGGGAAGCTGTACAGCATCAGCTTTTTTACAAAAGCATGGAAAAGCTGCCTGTGTTGTTTTCAGACTGGTGAGATGTTTCTCTCAACACAGCCTCCTAAGATGAAGCTGTTCAAGTAGAAATTTCATTAACAGAGGAATATACATCTCCTTCATGAGCACATAGAGCAATTAAATGCTCTGCATTGACTTGAAGCTTCAAAGTTCTGTTTAATTAGTGCTGCTTATTTTGATATATTACAATCCAGAAATAACTGAGATAATTGGCTAATAACCTGATTTTTGTGTGACTCTGGGAAACATTTCCAGAGGAGTCTATAAAATAGTATTTACACTGAAGTGTTCAAGATCCCATTAAATATAGTATGAACTTTCTCTTTTCACTACAGAACAGGTCTACTTGTCTACAATTCTCAAATCATTAGTAATGATTAAAAAGAGTCTTTTTACTTAAAATGCAGTCAAGTAGGTGAGCTTCGATACTGAAACATTAATCCAGACCTGAGCATTTCTGTTGAGGACAGTAATTCAGTAAATCCAATAATTGGACAGTGGAGTTAGTGTGTCTAGACATAAATACCCCCAGGGGAAAATAAAAACTAAATTCTAATTTGTGATTAGAAAATGAGCAGGCACAACTTCTAAAACTTGTTTCTGGATGTTCTTTGTTTAGCTTTGGATGCTGTTTGATCAGAAAATACAGTTTGAGCGAGCCATGAACGATGGCAGATACCATGTAGCAGATTCTCTAGTAGCAGGAATTACAGCACTTAATAGCATTGAAGGTGTATACAGGTAAGAAATCATGGGTCTTCATCCACTTGCAGGTGTGTTCCATGAAGATAATGAAATATTTAGCAAAATGATCACTGGCAGTCTCATGTGCTTGTATATTTTTCCCTTTCTAGAACTAGTTAGGGTCATGTTGTCTAACCTATAGGGCTATTCCCTTAGAGCATCCTGCAATAATAATTTGTAGTAGTTCCTCTGGACATTTTAAGAACTGGAATAGCTGAAGCTGGTGTTATTTTAGAGCTATGAATCTGTTGTGGTAACAGCTTCAAAATCTGCTATACTCAAACCTGAGCAGAAAGCAGATTTTTATGTCAAATAGCTGGGGTGGGAGCTCAGGCCTTGAGCAAATTCCTCTGTGGCCTTGTTTCTACATCTCCAAAATGGAACAATGTGATTTTTTTTTCACTCACCTTAATGGGGTCTTGTTTCTAAATGAGAATAACGCGTTAAAAATAGTTACAGCTAAAACTTGGTATTTGGTGAGTATGAAAACCAGCTTAGTGTTCAAAGAATTTCTTGCAAATTTTCAGTGGGGCAAAACACGTAGAAGTAGCCAGTGCCAGTCAGCCAGAAGAGCAATATTCAAGCTGTGGGACCTGATGCTTGTCCTTCTGCAATTGGACTGATCATGAATTCCCTGATCTTTAAATGTTCTGCTCAGTGTCTGGTTCAGGGCATTTGTACCCATCCCCTGCTGCTCTGCATTTGGTCCTGACTTCCCTGTTCTCCATTTTCCTGTTGCTCCATATCCTTGTTAGCTCTGGACGATTTTAGCTGCTTTACCTCATACCTGTTTTTCTCACAGATAATTACTTATGCTTTCTAGTTTGCATGTCCTCCCACTTCTGCTGCCTGTTTGGCCTTTGGTTTTGGCAATCCCTGGTTTCTATCTAAAGCTATTTTATGAGTTTGATCCTTTCTGCCTGGGAGTTGTCCAGCTGGCACCAGAGAGATCTGTTTTTCCTCCTGTCTGTGTGTGCAGCATGTGTACACTTTGTCAGGGTGCCAGTCTGCAGTTACAAGAAACGCAGGTCACAGAATAGAGATCTGATTTACTGTGTTCTGAAGAGCAGAATTCTATGCAAAATACAAAAATACAGTCATGTTTTCTTTGTACCACAACAGAAAAGCCATTGTATTGAAAGCTCAAAATCAAATGTCAGAGGCACACAAACTTCTGCAGAAATTGTTGATCCACTGCCAGAAAATCAAGAACACCGAGATGGTGATTAGGTAAGAATATTTCATTTTCAGAGTATTAAAGCCACTTTGCAGTGATTAGAATCAGCCATTTCAATTTGTCTGTGTTCAGACTTCACTAGTCTTCAGATTGCCTGCTGTGATTCCGAGATTACAGAGTCATTTCAATTATTAATCACAGTATGGAGAAATCCTCAAAATATTGTGTCATTTAAACCTAGTTCTTTTTAATATGTAAACTAAATCGTGGTAAACTTAAAAGTTCCATGAAGGTTCATGGAAGAAGGGAACACTGCATCTAAAATAAGTAGGAAATGGAAATGTGTGTGTGTGTAGTTTTATCTTGGTGTAAATCTTAAGAGAGCTACAGTGTTATTTAATCTTTTTTATGTCTGTGGCATCTCCTTTTAAGGGTGTAATTTAAATTTATTGTACATGCAGCAGCCTAATTCATAATAAAAGCAATACCATTGTGGATAGAATAATTCCCTGAGAAACAAGTGGGTATTTTTCATCCAGAGTAAAGGTTTGTAACTGCTCACCCCTGTTTGTTCAGGGTGCTGCTGTCCATAGCAGAGCTGTACTGGAGATCCTCGTGTCACACCATCGCGCTGCCGGTGCTGCTGCAGGCTCTGGCCCTCGCTCGGGAGTACAGCCTGCAGTACTTGGCTTCTGAAACTGTGCTGAACTTGGCTTTCTCCCAGGTAGGTCTGATTTGTGTTTTCACAGGGCTGCAGGGCAACATTTATTCTGGGGATCTGGATGCTGTTTTTACTCCTGTGAGATTTAAGAACACAACCTCGTTGGAATTAAATTATCGATCATGAAGAAGCAAACTCTGAATGTAAAAGCTTTCAAGGAAGTTAATAAAAGTTGAGTTTCATGTGTATCACTAAAATGTATAGTTATTGTATATAATTAAGCAACATAAAATTCCCCTGTCTTAATGTCTTCAGTTATTTTTTTATGCTGGTATATTGGCTTTCTAGTAGCACAGGTTGGTTTGTATATTAAAAATAATGCTGGTAATGAGTTCAGTTGTGTTGTTTATTCTGAGAGGCGTGGCTGTCAGCACTGACTGAGTAGAGAAGCCTTTCCCAATCATTTCAGAGAACAGCTCATTTCTACTCAAAAGTTTTGATTTAAAAGAAGACTGTAGGGAAAAAGTTGAAAAAAAAAAGTGTTACATTATGTTATTAGAAACAGACAAGGCTTGTGTTGGTGTTCCCTGAAGAAGCTGCTCATATCAGTGGATTCCTGTGTGAAACCAGCAAGTATTTCTCTTTCAGCTGATCCTTGGCATTCCTGAACAAGCCCTGAATATCCTGCACATGGCAATAGAACCTGTCTTGGCCCATGGAGCTGTCCTGGACAAGGGCTGTGCCATGTTCTTGGTGGCCAAATGTCAGGTGGCATCTGCAGCTTCCTACACTCCACAAAAAAAGATTGAAGGTAGTGTGAAGAGTAATTATCTCTGAAACAGCTCAGAAGTGCAAACCAGTGTCTGTACTGGAGTCCTGCTACAGCAGAGTGTGTTACCTGCTTATTGGATACAAAATTAACTTGGAATTAGTTGTTCTACAGATGTTTATAATGGAACATTGTTTATCTGCATACTTTCACACACGTATTTTGCAGCAAAGGCTGAATAATAGAAACTAGCTGAGAGACCATGTTGCTAAGACACAAATGGTTTTGAAAAGCTGAGGAATTTATAATTGGCCTCCTTAGACTTGAGCTGCCTTGCTTGGAGTTCTTACTGTGATATTTTCTTAAATATGACTGTCCCCCTTTTTCCCACAGCTTTGGAATCTGCTATCTTGAATCTAAATGAAGCCAAGACTTACTTTGCCAAAGTGGACTGCAAAGAGCAGCTCAGAGACGTTCTCTACTTCCAAGCCCGGCTGTTCCACACCCTCGGCAAGACCCAGGAAAGGAACAAATGTGCCATGTTGTTCCGTCAGTTGCACCAGGAGCTGCCAGCACACGGTGTCCCCTTAATCAACGCCTTCAAATGATGCATTTAAAGATGAGATTTGTTTGTTTTCCTGTTTCGGTTTTGTTTGGTTTGTTTTTTTTTTTTTTTTACAAACATCTTTTTATTGTATTCAGTCATCCGTGTTTAAGAATAACTGCCAATAAATCATGATCTGCTCTTGAACAGACTTGTGTTTTGTAACACAAACATCGTTTTCCACTCATTTCACTTTTATTCTGTACTTGAAATGAAGAAATTAGTGGGGAAAAAAGAGAAAAGACCCTCTTGACTGTGTTAAAAGCACACTGAGGGGAGTAGTGCAGTCACGAAGTAGTGTTCTGTTCTTAGTAGTGACATTTCCCGAATCAATGCAGGCTTTATGGACACACGGGTACAAAAAACAGTGGAAAATGTAGGCAAAGCTCCTTTGTGCTCTTTTTAAGTGGTATGGAAGGGGGAGTCTCATTTAAAACATGTCCTTGCTTTTAACCTGTCTGCAGTTGTTTACGCTGCAGAAACAGATGGTGCTGGCAGGAGGGGAAAAGACAGGGTTCAGTCAGAGAGGTGTAACAGTGCAAAGTCCTGGCACTTCTGTTTCGTGTGTCCTTGTGCAGAGGGGGGATGAGAAGAGTGAGGAGTGGGAAACAACAGCCCCAGCTCAGCTGAAATGTTTTTATTGTGTGTGTTCTCCCCTCAGCACTGTGTGTCATTCACCTGCTCTGCTTTTAGGGTTGAATAGACAACTGATGTATCTGGAGGGGCCTCCAAGAAATCTGGAGAGGGACTTTGGACAAGGGCTGGAGTGACAGGACAAGGGGGAATGGCTTCCCACTGGCAGAGTGCAGGGTTAGAGGAGACACTGAGGAGAAATTCTTCCTTGTGAGTGTGGGGAGGGAGGCACTGGGACAGGATGCTCAGAGAAGCTGTGGCTGTCTCATCCCTGGAATGTCCAAGGCCAGGTTGGGTGAGGCTTGGAGCAGCCTGGGATAGCAGAAGATGTCCCTGCCCATGAGATGGTTGTTGAGGTCCCTTCTACCCCAAACCATTCTATAAATGAATCTGTGATGTGCTAGCATTGACTGCTGGCAACAAGATCCTCATTTTGGAAGAAAATTTCATTTTGGCTGTAGTGTGGTATTTGAGGGCAGATGGGATTGCACTCCTGTGAGTGTAAACCTTTAGTGAGTGCCAGTCACCTGGTGAATATATAAAGCTGAGCATCATCAAACCCCAGGAGATACCCTGCTTTGAAGCAGTAGATTTAACTGTGGCATTATCAGCAACGACAAAGCAAGACCAGACCTAAACCTGGTTCTGCTGGAGCCCAGCCAGGTAAGGAGGAAGAGAGAAGCACAAAGGTGTGGTTGAGACAAGGCTAGTCCGGTGTTAGTTTACACATTCCATTAATTAGTGCTGCATCGGGGCTGTTGGCAGATCATCACAGCCTTGATTTTAAAACTACCTTTCCAACAGCAAAGGGGAACCCAGCTTTGTGGAACACTGGTGATGGCTCATTGCATCTGCTGTGTTTTAATCAACATCGAGCAGTTTAATCCTTAAAATGTGCCATGGTAAGTGCATAAACCTGATTTTTAGAGTGGCTTTCAAGATTCTGGTCAGAAATAGAGTGTTTATTGACAAAGCTGGCATGGAGGGCTCGCTCTGCTCTGGGGAGCTCTACAGTGTCAAAGTGGTGCCTACAAACGAGCCTTGAAGCAAAATGAGGAAGAGGGTCTGGCCAGGCTGGGGCATTTGCATCTGCTCAAGGCTGAAGCTGCTGCTTCATGAAAAGAAAACCGGGGGCGGGCTTGGTGCAGAAATGGTGCTGGATGGAAATAAAAAGCAGCCCCAAATATTGGACAAAGCAAGGGATATGTTTACCGAGGGCTGGTGTCAGCTGGGGTGTTCAAGGCCCTACCCGTGAGCTCTGTCTCAGCGCTACAGAACTGCAACTTGTGTGGGAACTGTTCGGTGGTGGCCTCTGTGACATTTCCAAACAACTGTTTTCCAAACGTCCCCTTTAGGGGATGATCTGGGCAATGGCTCAGAGCGGGGAGCTGGCGCAGGTAACCCGGTTTGCCCCCAGCCGACCTGAGGCTGGAAGGCCAGTGCTGGCACGGGGTCAGGGGCAGGAAGCGGCGGCGGGGACACCGGGGCTCGTGTCCCTCCGAGGGTGACGCGGGGAGCCCGCAGCGGGGGCGGCGGCGGCGGGACCGGCCGGGGCTCCGCGCTGCATCCCGGGGGAGGTGATGCGGG